ATTGAAACAGGTTCATGTCATTATAGCCTTGATGGAAGAAAAAGTAGCTCTTCTCAATCCTCCACATAATAAGACATATAATCTTGCCCTAACCGCTTTGGCACAGTGGATAGAGCGTCGGCCTGTGGACTGAAAGGTCCCAGCTTCGATTCCGGTCAAGGGCATGTACCTTGGTTGTGGGCACATCCCCAGTGGGGGGGTGTGCAGGAGGCAGCTGACCGATGTTTCTCTCTCGTCGATATTTCTAACTCTCTATCCCTCTCCCTTCCTCTCTGTAAAAAATCAATAAAATATATTAAAAAATAAGACATATAATCTTTAAATGGAGCAAAATCTCCCTCAGTTTTGGCTCCTTTAGTCCTTGTAACTGGTTCTCCCATTCATCCTTCCTCTTGGCCCACAGGACAGTGCTGGGTGCAGGGCGTGCAGTGAGGAAAGCAGTGGGACTTAAACTCACTGGTGTCTTGTGCAAACAGGGTTGTGATCAGTGCTACACACCCACAGCTGGTGAAGAGGGATAAGGGGGGGCATTCGAGCTTGTGTGAGTGAAGTTTTGAAAAACACATGAGAGCTGGCCATGAGAGCTGGTGACATTCCTCAGGGTACACAAGACAAAGGGGGTGCAGAGTGCAGGCTCTGGGGAACACTGCCCAGACTCCAAGCTCCTTGCTTTACATGCTGGGGACTTTACTGCTCTGAGGTTTCCAGAACTGTGAAAGGTGTGTGCTAATACACTTACTTCAACTGAGTTGTTCTAAGAAATAACAGTTGAATGTGTGAGACAGTACCTAGCATGTAAGGAAATATGCGACATTAGCTCTCCAGGCACAGAATAAAGTATGCATGCCTTCCACTTAGGCTAATTTATCCATTATCTAACACAATTATGTTAAATAATAGATGCAAAGCCTCATATTTGGCCACCCGTTGTTTGTATAATCTCTTTTAAAAGTAAGCTAGTAACCTTATTTTTTGTTCTGTGTGACATCTTAGCACATACCACATAAGCAATGTAGAATAAAATAACTTGAAAACATCATATATATATATACATATATATATATATGTATATATAATCAGATTTCAAAATCTCTAGTCCTTTAAATTGCCCATTTTAAATTCTCTTTGGAAAATTAAAAATATATATATTTTTATTGATTTTTAGAGAGAGAGGAAGGGAGAGGGAGAGAGAGAGAGGGAAACATTGTTGTGAGAGCAAAACATTGATCTAACCTGCAACCCAGGCATGTGCCCTGACCTGGAATCAGACTGGCAACCTTTATGGGGCACAGGATGATGCCCAACCAACTGAAGCCACACCATCCAGGGCTGAAGATGGTGTTCTTAAAGTTCAATTTTCTAGTGTCATATCTTTTGGTGAGACGGTTGTTATGCGGCCAGGATGGCAAAGATAATTTACACTCTCTCCTACCTGGCGTGTATTAATGGCAGTGAGGTACTTGGTAGTGCTCCCTGACATATGCCTCTATTCTAATCACAGATCACTGAAGATGTGCAATATCCTCAGCTTTTTAAAATTGAGGCTGATGTGTGCGTGTGAATGCACATGTGTGTGCACACAATGAGCCACCAAGGAAGTGCTCATGGCACCAAGGTGGTGTCATAAGCAAGGCAGGGCACAAGCATGCTAAGCAAAGTGCCATCTGACTTCTTACATGTAAGTTTAAAATAAAAAAAGCTTATATTCACTGTAACACAAGTCAAAGTTTTAAGATCATAGTAGGTTCAAGTTAAAGAGCCTAAATTTAAAAAGGCAACAAAACAAATAAGTTTCTATTTTATTTACTTATTTTTTTTGGAAAATAAGCACAACTCAATGTGGGTATTGCTTTTGCTTGAAAGCAAATATAAACGCTGCTGCTTACTAAATGTATGACCTCCAGCAAGAAAGTGTGTCAGGGAAAATGGAAATATCTGTCCCATGGTATTATTACAAGGATTGCATGAGCCATTGTATGCACAATGCTTAGCATAGATTGCACTTGGCAAATAGTAGATATTCAGTTAAAAGTAGTTACTATTATTATTTATACCCCCCCATGCTTGCATATTTAATTAGACCCTTGAACAGTTAATACCTTAACTCAATGAAATGAGCACTTAGTGGCATACTTTTTAATACTTTGGTATGGAATTAAAGGAGATATATAAATTTGTGCTGGTTTGCTCATTATTTTTTGTTTGTGTGTATAATTGTCCCAATTATATTCCAAATTCCAAAAGAAACACTTTTATTATATTTGTTCACTCAAAGCATGTTCTGGGCTGAAAACAGATAATCTACACTAATAAAAGACAAAGATGCTAATTGACCATACCATCCCTACGCCCTAAGCCACGCCCACCAGCCAATCAGAGTGACTATATGCAAATTAACCCAAACAAGATGGCGGCCGGCAGCCAAGGAGCTGGAGCAAGCAGGAGGCTTGGTTGCCCAGGTGATGGAGGAAGCCAAACTTCCTGCCTGCCCTGAGCTGGCTGTGGCCTCCGCTAAAGTCAACAAAGTTTCAATTATAGAAGATAAACAAATCCCAGATACCTGCTTCCAGCCAGCCTCCACTGGGAGCTTGGGTGGCTGGGGGCCATGGCCAGCCTGCAAACAGCCATCAGCCCCTCACCCAGGCTGGCCAGGCACCCCAGCGGGGACCCCACCCTGAAGGGGCTGTGGCCAGCCTGCAAACAGCCCTCAGCCCCTCATCCAGGCTGGCCAGGCACACCAGCAGGGACCCCCACCCTGAAGGGGCTCTGGCCAGCCTGCAGACAGCAATCAGCCACTCACCCAGGCTGGCTAGGCACTCCAGCAGGGACCCCTACCCTGAAGGGGGTGTGGCCAGTCTGAAAACGGCCCTCAGCCCCTCACCCAGGCTGGCCAGGCACCCCAGTGGGACCCCCACCCTGATCCGGGACACCCTTCAGGGCAAACCAGCCAGCCCCCCACTCATGCACCAGGCATATAATAAAAGGGTAATATGCAAATTGACCCTAACAGCAGAATGACTGGGAATGACTGGTCACTATGACACACACTGACCACCAGTGGCAGACGCTCAATGCAGGAGCTGCCCCCTGGTGGTCAGTGCGCTCCCAAAGGGGGAGCTCTGCTCAGCCACAAGCCAGGCTGATGGCTGCCAGCACAGTAGTGATGGTGGGAGCCTCTCCCACCTCCTCAGCTGCGCTAAGGATGTCCGACTGCAGCTTAGGCCTGGTCCCCGCTGGCAAGTGGACATCCCCCAAGGGCTCCTGGGCTGCCAGAGGGATGTCTGACTGCCAGCATAGGCCCGATCTTCTGGGGAGCGGGCCTAAGACAGCAGATGGACATCTCCCAAGGGGTCCCAGACTGCAAGAGGGCACAGGCCGGGCTAAGGGACCCCCCTGAGTGCACTAATTTTTGTGCACTGGGCCTCTAGCATTTAATAATGGTATTTCATGGACAAAACTCAGTAGCATCAAAAAATAATCATTTCTCCAAAAAATCCTCAGAAGCACAAGCCAGTAGTGAACTTCTGACAATATGAGTAAATCAGGTAGAATTTTGAAGGTGACACTTTGTTTCCTAGAAAAGTAAGTTTCTCAGTTTGCTTGCCCACAATCTTCTTTCTGCAGCACAATGAGGAAGAAGAAAAGGGTTAAAGCAAACATGAAAAACTGAAACCCTAGGCATCACAACAATGCCAATTTTTAGAGGGGAGACAGCAGAGAGTTTGTGGTCCCAAGAGAGACTCGGGGAACTTTGCAGACAGTGCCTTGGGCTCCGGAGCAGAGGCTGGCCTGCGAGGACCTCCAGGAACAGGCTCAGGGCTCTTTAATAAGTATTCCAGGGAGTCAGGCTTTCCTGGAAAAAACAAATTAGTGGGAGAAGCCAGTACTGTGCAATTTCAGTTTTAAAAATAGCCAGGCATTGTGAAGGCTGCTGTGTGCGTGAGAGAAAAAGAAAGCCCTTGTTAATATCTGCCTCTGCTTCCACACTAAAACAGAGCAGCTACACTGACATTTTGGCCCTGCCGAAACTGCAAAGGTCATAAGGTTTGTATCACTTGGAATGACTTTTTGGTCCTTCCCATGGCAAAGTTTGGGGGGTGGATTGTGTCCTTTTGTATCCATCAGTTTTGCAATAGAGGACAGACAGGTGATGGCTCTGCCTCTTTCACTCAGGACCAGAGCTGCCCCTCGCTGTCTGCTTCAGCTCTTCATTTGCCTAATTGCCCTGGGAGCCTGGCAGGGACCTTCCCTGCAGCTGTGGCTCAGCTGACTGCAGAGACCCTACCTGGCACTCGAAGTTGGTGCGTCAGCATTTTAGGTGGAAATGAATGAAAAATCAATCAGGATGACTGCAGTGGTAGCACGCACATCTCTAACCTAGTTTGTCCATAACTTTCAACTAGTCACCATAGACCCAAGCAGTGTTTAAGATGGTAACTGAATCTGTCACAAAAGTGCTGCTTCTGCTTAATCAGGCTTATTTTTTTGTCCTCTTTTTCATTTAGAACAAGCAAATCTAACCTGCTTAGGGAGCCACATGGAAAATGAATGATATTGTCTAGTTTCATGCAAATATTCTCTATTTGCCCTGGTTTAACATTCAGTGATAAATTTCCAGATATGTATAAAATTGTTTTATTAACTTATACTTCAAATTCAGAGGTTCAAACAGCTTTCTTAAAAAGTCTGTTATATCCTTGCCACATATCTTTGTAACTTGCTATAGCACTCTGTTATCAAAATTACACTGTCTTAAATTTTACAATTCTGCAAAGATAGAGTTAAACACTATTTGGACTCTGGCTACATGAGGGAAAGTGAAATTGTTCAAAGCTGCAGTCTTCCGTTCCCAAAGACAGCTACAGAAACTTTCTGAACAGATTGGGTTAAACATTTTTACAGACCCATTCTGTGATGATAAGGCGGCAATAAGTTGTGCAGTGCAACACTCCGAAGGGCTCCAAATCTCACAAGCCTCTTTGTATGTGATGCTCTCACAGTGAAGAAGATTCTTGGGGCTATAAAGATGAAGAGCCTACTTCTTCTGGTGCTGATCTCCATCTGCTGGGCTGATCATCCTTCAGACAACTACACTCTAGATCATGGCAGAGTTATTCACATCCAAGGTAAGAAAACACAGGTTCTCTTATGAACGTCAAACGAATTTCAAGTTACTTCGAGTTGAGATGCTGGGTTTGTGTTTCTTCATTAGTTCTGCTGCACTGACTTTTCCCTTTCCTTTCTGCTAATTGGTGAACATGCTCCCTGGCTTTTGAATGCGATAGCATGACAGTAGAGTTAGGAATTGGGGACAATTAAAGTGGAATGGCTTATGAATGTCCGACTGCAGGGAATTGATGTAATTGTTCCAGGCTTTTTAGCACAGTTGCTACCTTTCTTGTAAGTAGAACAGAGGACATAAAGTTTATTTCAGTGCAAGGCAAAGGGGGTGGGGAGAAATAGGAAGTAAAACTTACGATGTAAGGTCATGCTGCTAGAGTAAGCATTAGGAAAAACTATGTGAAAATGAAAGTCAGACAAGCTAAGCTTCAGGAGAAAGTAACTCACCGCGTTATAATCTCCTTTGGTGAATATTTAGCTCCGATTGACCAGTATGTTGCCTCTGCGTGTTTCTGTTCAGCTCAGCTGAATCCTCAGCCTTAGAGCTGTAATGAGGTTTGGGGCTGCAGTGCAATGCAGCTATTTCCTCAGTCCCAGCTTCAGACAAGGGGCATCCTGCACTCAGAAAGCTAAGAGACTTATGCAATAAGGAAAAGATCGTTCTAAAGGAGCTGTCGCTTCTCTCTTTGCCCTGGTGTGCTGAATAATTAAAAGAAGAATGACAGGATTTAACAGTTTAAACATATGATGACATTAATTTTAGATGAACTTAGTTTGGGGACCAGAAGCATTATAGGTTTGCTAAGCGACATAAAACATCAAGTTATATCCTCAAGGTCAAAAGTGTAGTCTCAGAAAATTGCATCCACTGTTGCAAAGTATGAGTTGTGAAGGTCAAATGATAGTGTAAGTCTGGCTAGAAGTATTTTCCTGTACATACTGTGACTACACAAATAGAGTTCTGAATTTGACAATAGCTTGCTGTTTTAGATATATCTCTTTCAGTTCTTTTGGCTTCCAACAGCTTTATGTTTTTTGCTGGACTGTGAAAAGGAATTATATAATCATAAATCGTACTATGCAAGCTGCTGACTCAGCTGTTTTTTAATGTATACAGTAGAGGAATCAAAGCTGTTTCCCAGACACTATATTTACACAGAGATATTTCTGATGAGGAACAACATCTTTTTAACATCTAGTCACAGAATGCAGTTCAGCCAAAAGGTTAATACCGAGTCATGACTAACAATAGCAGGTTTAAAGCTGATATAAAATTAACTTTAGCTGTGTTTTCAAGTTATTATTAGACAGATATCTGTTATATTATGAACTATGTACAAACCATTTAGTTTAAAGTGCACTCAGAGTATGCAAATATTATTTTGGGAGTGTATTTACATTTTAAAAGTTACTCCTGGGGAGCCTTTAAATTAGACTTGAGTTTCGTCAGTGAGGAAAACTTCTGGGGCCCCAACCTTTCCATCCCATATACTCTGCTGGAATTTAGTGCAAAGGAATTTCTGACACGAGGTATCAGAATTATCCACATTATTGCCTACACTATCAAATTAAAAAAATAACTTGATAGTTCATTTTTTAATTGTAAATTCATATTCTTAGAAAGTTACTCATAGCTTTCAAGTAATAAAACTAGAGAGCCTACCTTTTGCTTATAGAAGCCTATACTGAAATATAATTTGAATCAGGATTATGATGCTATGTCCATACATCTTAATTTATTTTAAAATTGCTCCAAATACCTGTTCTTGTTATTTTTCATCTAATAAAAAGTTTTCTTTTTCCTTTATGATAGCATTTAGGTTGAACATGCATATCTTCAGTCCTCCAGAGAAACACCTTCAAGTGTCCTGACATAATTTCGGTTGTCATTTACAATGCAAAAATAACATGTATAGCACACGAGATAATCATTACAGCAGATAATCTGCATTCCTCACTTGAAATACTAGTTTCTCATATTTAAACTCTTATTTGTCAAACTTATTAGTTTCTCATATTTAAACTCTTATTTGTCAAACTACATTAGTTTCTTATATTTAAACTTTTATTTGTCAAACATGGCCCAAAAGGAATTTAAACCCTCATAAAATTTTATAAGAATTTTGTAGTCAGATGACTAAGTTAGTAAATCTGACTTTCAAATTCCTGAGTTGTACTGATAAGCACAATGGGCTCCTCTCAGAGATAGAAAATTGTTCAGAATTTGCATTACTGCAAAAACACCTTTTCTATCTCCCCATGTTTATTAAATTTCTATGTTTGTATTCCCAGGCCCAAATGACACCAGGGCAATAGGCACATTATTCCCAAATTCCCCTAAGCTGCTTTGATGAAGATGTGCAACACTTTGATAGTATGTTCTTGAGTCTCAGGCATAAGAGTTACCTAATTATGTTTTGAAGGCTTCCTCCCAAATTTGTTATGGGAGCTTCTATAGATACATGGGAACAAAAACATTTAATCTGGCTTTTTCTTTTAAAAAAGTGGAACTACCAGGAAAGAAAATGCAAGTATAGAAGCCTGTGCAGTGTTTCTGGTGAAAAGCATGTGTCTGGTTATGAAAAAGGAAACTCTCCCAGTTTCCCACGAAGAAAGACACAGCCTTTGATAAAAAATGCACATATACTCATTCATGCCTTTAAACTTTTTTATTGAAGCTGTTTGAAAGCAAGCTTTACTTGTCCATGGAGTCTGCTAATGTAGTTCCCAATGTAGAAGACAGTAATTTCTTAAAATATAGCTACAGGAAGAGATAGCTGCTGGTCATATTGTCTCTACAACACTTTCCACTAATACATTACATCCCTCGTTTCCTGATATGCCTAGTCAAACAACTTCTAACTCCTTTGAAACTTGAGACCATTAGGAAGAGTTTTATATGGAATACCAAATCACACAAAAGTCTCTTTTAAATAAATATGTGGATGAGGTCCAAAAACTCTTTCTGTATACTTTTAATTACCAGTAGATGTTCAAAGATAAAGATATACTTTTTTAACCCTGTTTTTAAGGAGACATTTACATAGACACCAGAGAAGTCATATGACCATTTGCCCATTAAACAATGTAAAAAGCAAAATAGTGAATGCAAAACTGCTTGACCATATTCAGGTCCGAGAGCCAATGGCGTCCTTCCTCTGGTGGCCAAATGCAGTCTTCCGACAAGTTCGAGACTTTTCCCCCCAATGCCACTACTGACTTTAGATATTGGACATTTAATTTCTTCAAGTTTCCTTCCCCTCACCTATAAAATCGGGCATAATCACCATTTATTCCGTAGAGCTTTGTAGGAATTAAATTAGGTAATATTTGGATAATATATGGATAAGTGCTTACTACTGAGTCTGGCCCACAATAAACTCTCAATAGATGACGGTTATTATCATCATCATGTTTGTTACTTCCTCACTGACATGGAAAAGGAGGTACAAAAACTGGCGGAAAAGCTCATGCTTTTCAAACTTATTTGCAACAGAACCTTAGTTCTAATGAAGTAAACGTTCTATAAGTTGCCTTCTTTGTCCTCTTTAGTTTCACAAATGAAAATTTCCCCCAATAGTATTCGATATTATCCAACCCTTTTACTTTCCTTGTAAACACAGAAGCTTTTCAAACTTAAGTAATTTTCCTTTAATAGACTTACTAGGTGAACGCAGATAAGCTAAATGTTGTTCTTTTATAATTTAAAAAATAACAAGAATAAAATGGTTGCCCTCTATTTAATAAGTAAAATGTACTGTCACTTTCTCAAAAGATAAAACAGTAATAGTTTTTAAGGGAAGAATTGTCAGAAGTTTATCTCTCTGGGTAGTAAAATAATGTATATCTAGAATCCTTGGCAGAAGTGGACATTCCCCATCCAGGGGGTTGGCTCCTTTATCCTGTGTGTCTCAAATAACTCCTCTGTTCCCGTCTCGGCATGTGTTCTTTTTTGTTAAAATAGCTCCTCTTCGCCATGAGATGTCAGTATCTTTATCACACCACTGTATAGTTGTGCCTGGAACATAGTATGTGATATATATATATATATATATATATATATATATATATATATATATATTGAATAAATGGATGAGTGTAATGGAATACATCCAAATTACCATTATAATGCGCATTTCTTAAATCCTGTGGCATCCATGGCATTTAGCAATGCAATGACATATTGTGTAGGCTTAATAAACATTAACTAGATGACTGCTTTCATTATAATGTTGATAAAAGCTAAACCATAGTTTATAGAATTTAAGGACTTAAGATGACTTCAATATATGATATCTAGATTAATATCCCATTGTACAAATAAAGAAATCAAGACCCAGAGATTTTATATTTCTTGTCCCTGGTAGCATGGCTAATGATGAACAGTGTCTCTTGGCTAATCCCTTCCCCTCTTCAAGTATGGGCTCATTTCTCACTTTCTCAATGAATTTTCCCTGCCTATTGCACTCTCCTGCTCCTATGGACCCCAATCTCTCTCACATCTTTTCCTTTTCTTTGTAGCACTGGCTAATTGCGTTACCTATTTTGCATAATAATTTGTGTCCATATCAAGGTCAGTTTCACAAGGGCAGAGACATCTGATGTATCTAAGTCACCTAAATCAGTACCTGGCACATAGTAGGTGGTCAATACATGTTTATTGAATAAATCTAGGACCAAGATCCCGGTGTTATTCCTAATCAAGTTCTAGTTAGTCTTTCCAAATGTCAGGGAAATAGTTTCAGTTTGTAGAATGAGAGGCAGCAGATGAAGAAGAGGATTATGAGATTGGGTAATTGGTCGTATGCATGGCTCCCACAATGTACACAACATCTTACTCTCCATGAGGGTCCATCAGAGGCAGGAGGCAGCAATCTTTCTAATGTGTGCATGCAGCTTTGAAGAGCAGTCATTTTACATTTGGTCACTGCAATGCTATCTTGTTCCTTATGTAATATCTGCAGAGTTGGGATCTGGTGGTGCAGAGTGGATCAAAAGAAGTGGA